GTGGAACCAGGGATTGAACTCAGGCCCTTGGGCTTGCCAGGGAAGCACTTATTCCACTGAGCCATCTCCCTGGCCCCTTCTGTCTACTTTCTTTGTTAACTTTGGAAAAAGAAGCATTAAAGTCTCTCACTGCTATTGTGGGTTTGACAGAATCTCCTTGTATTTGTAGCATTTTTCATTATTAGATTGTTTTAGTTCTCTATTACTGGGATTGGTAGTTTCTGGCTTTTAATCATTGTAAAACCCCTCATCTTATTTTATTACTAATTTTGGTCTTGAGTTTGGCTTTTGATATATTTATTTCAAGATAGCTCAAAAACAAAGTTATACTATATATTTTCTCAATAAGAGCTTTCTTAAGTAGATTTAACCTACTTCATGGTGTTTCAGCTTGTCTTAACCATCAGTGTATGTTTCTGTTTCCTGTGCTTTCTCCTCTTCTGTGCCTTTTTGTGAACCCCAACTCTTCTTTTAATTTCAGTTTTTTACTCATTTTGCAGAAATACCTATCATTTCTATATTTCTAATGATTATCCTAGAACTGCTATATTTCTAATGGATATCCTAAAATGCTGTCAACACCTTTTTTTTCTTTTAATGTATTTGGAACAGCGTCTCACTACATAGCTCAGACTCACGTGATCCTCCTGTTTTCAGTCTCCCCAGCTCTGGGATTACAGGCGTGCGCCACCACGCCGGTCTCTGTCAACATTTTAAAACTGACCTTTTGTCAATCAATACCTAGAATCAACCAAGTGCTAGTCTTCCCTTTAATAAAAGGAAAATCTTAATGTGTATTTATCACTCCCCCTCCTTACTACTTTCCATAATATATGTAAACCATAATAATAATATTGATAGATTTTATTTTTTAAATTATGCATCAACCATTCTTTAGCTTGAGAAAATGAACTGTTCGTTTCATTTCGTTCTACCCCAGCTGCTTGCACCCCAGGCCTTCCTCTTGGATTCCTATTGCGTGAGTACGGATAACTTAGGAGTGGAGAGTTAGTTCTAAATCAGGTTATGGCCCAGTGTAATTAGTTATTTGTGTAAAGCTCTTATCATCATTTATTTTTTCTCCTTTATCTTTATTCCTTGTTCTTATTTTTCTTTTCATATAAATTTCTGTTCTGGCCTTGGGTATGTTTTCCTGGATATATTTGTGTGTAATGTGTTTTCAATTTATAAAGTGGTTGTATACTGTTAAGCTATTCTGTTCATCGTTTTCGCTCAACATTGTTTTTAAGTGTTTCCTTGTTGCTGTCTGTCCATCTCCTCACAGTCTGAGGTACTGAGGATTAGGACTTCACCATATGAATCTGGAGACATCATAATTCAGACCAAAACACCAAATCTGTAGAATTTTACCTTCTGGTTAGTGTTTTTGAATTCTTATTTAGAAAATCACTTATTCTGTGTTGCTTTTCACTTTGCTAGTTGATTCTTTCAAGTATAGTTTACATGTAGTAGACTTTTAGTCCTTATCAAAAATTATCTTTTTAATTACACTTGAATGATGGTTTGGTTAATGGAGAATGCTAGCCTTAAAATAGTTTTCTTTTAAAATTGAAAATATTATTCATTGCCTTCTTAGTTTGTTGTTGCCAGTAAAAAGTCTGATTCCAATCTCTCTCTTTCTCTGTCTCTGTCTCTGTCTCTGTCTCTCTCCGTTCCTCTCTCTCTCTCTCTCTCTCTCTCTCTCTCTCTCTCTCTGTCTCTCTCTCTCGGTACTTTGCAAGTTCTTTCAAAGATGTGTGCTTTCCTTCACCTTGGAGACATGCTGTCCTCAACCCGTGGGACTGAGCCAAGGATGCTCTTCTACTGAGCTGCATCCGGATTTGTTCTGTTTTCTTTTGAGACCAGGTCTTGTGAAGTCTCTCGCTTACTTGAACTTACCACCTTACTGCCAAAGCCTCCCAGGCTGTGGGGATTCCACGCGCCCCTGCACGAGGCTGAGAACATCTTTACCTCCCTCTTTACTTCTCTGTGTGGTTTTCCTCTGGGACTCCCTCAGTTGCTGAAAATTTTGAATTATCTTCTGTTCCTCTTTTCTACCATGCTTTCTCTTTCTTTGTCTTTTTGTATTACATTCTGAATCTCTCAGCTCCATCTTCCATTTCATGGATTAGCTTTTGAGCTGGTCCTGTTTGTAGAGAGCACATTTGAGTATCATGTTTGATGATCAAATTTTAAGTTTACAAAAATTGTTAATAGCTTCATTTCCATAAAAAGCTGCTCTTAGTTTAAGAATGGAATAGCCCTTTGAAATTCTTAGAGGATATAGTTCTATTTTAAAGGTTTTATTCTTTGTTAAATAAATCTGTAAGGTTTTTTTTTTACATGCTGTGGCTTATCATACTGTTAATTTTCCTCAAATATTAGCAGATTGTTGTTTCTTTTTTCTTGCAGCCACCCCCTGTCTGATGCAGGCTCTGATGCGTGAAGCTGCTTGCCTGGTGGTGGGGGTACAGGGGCTTTGTGCAGCAGGGTGTGCTGCAGCCTGTCGTCTTTCTCTCTCTGGAAGCCCGGCTTCCTGGGTCCCCAGGGGCAGGACTGATCACACCCACACTTACAACTGCATCCTGTCCCAGAAAACTCCTCCTTTGTTCATTGAGTAAACCTTTTCCAAGGTCTTTTCAGACACTCACTCTGAGGACTGTTTATGGCAGGTGTGCGCCAGCCTCCTCTTACTGCTTATTTCATGTCACCTTTCTCATTCTAATGTCAATATGGGAAGGGCGTGGCATTCACAAGTGTAAAGACAAGTGGCCCCTGCACAGCATCCGGCCCCAGCAGATGCACTGCTTTGTTCTTTAGGTTGAACTCAGCTGTTCGTAGGCCTGGTGGGTCCAAGAACCAAGGCCTCCTGCGGCCCTCTCCTCCTCATGACCATGTGCGGACTCTTGCTATCTCGCTGAATGCACTGACTTTCAAAACATCCTGTTTCTACTAAGATGACAAAAATGTTTTCCAGAATGTCTTTTATAAACATGTCTGTCTTCTAAGAAAGCTGGAAGGTTTGCTTCTCAGTATGGAAGGCTCCCAGGACCTGAGGCTAGAGAGAGAACACATGTTACAAACCCAGGAGGCAGGCTCCTGTGGCTGAGACCCAGTGAGTGAGGGGAGGTTGCGTGGGACAAGACTGAAGAAGCAGAGCGTGGCCGGCAGTGCAGGGCTTCAGGAGCCTGGCTAGGGGGCTAGGAGTTTATCCTAATGTAGAGGGTCTTACTGTGTGGCAGGTGACACCCCTGTGTTCCTTTTCTCGTGTACCATTGGAACCGGTCCAGGACATGCCCTGATGGGGGTGAAGAGGCTGGGACCAGACTCTCACTTCTCTGGGGATCAATCGTTGGTCTCACCACCCTTCATTCTGTTTCTTTTGTTTCAGAGGTTGTGTTCTCATCTTACCCGGGATTTTCAACCTCAGAGGTAAGGATTACTTGCTTTATGTTTGTGTGTTTGAGTTAGAATACCAATTTTATTTTGTTTGTGGTCCTGAGACTCAAACCTAAGGGTCCAAACATGCTGGACAAGCACTGTACAATTGAGCTATACCCCAAGCCTAAAATAGTCATCTTCTTCTAAATGTGTACTGTTTCTAATCAATTATGATTATATTCTTGGGCCAGGGAGATAGCTCAGTAGAATAAGTGCTTGCCTCGTACCACCAAAACAAAAACAAAAACAAAAAAACCCTCAATGATTATGATCATATTCTTTAAAATAATTTTTTTAAAAAAAAAAGGTAAAAAGGACCAGAAAAAATTAAGGTTTACTAGAAGCAAGTGCTAATATTAAATTATTTGACTAATTTTGCATACCTACATCTCTTAATTTGAGCAATAGATTTGATGGTAAAAATAAGTAATATAACAACCATTGTTAATTTTCTATTGTTTTGAAATTCTGTAGTATGTGTTGTTGTACACTGCTCTGTTGCTATTTTGTTTTTGCTATGTGTTTTCATTTATATTCTTTAAAATAAAATAAAGTATGAAAAAAAAGAAAGCGGTGTAGTTCTGATAATTCAGAGGCCCCCCAGCCCACTTTATGGAGACCCAAGTCAAAGGCCACAGTTCCCCAGTCTGTAGGCCAGCCACATGTTCGCCACCCCACCCTGCAGGCTATCCACACTTTGATCAACTATTGACTAAATTTGGGATGATTGAGACTAAAAGCCAGATGTTCGGGGCATGGTGACACAGATCTGAAATCCCAGAATTTAGGAGGCTGAAGCAAGATTTCATAAGTTTTAGATCAGCCTGAATTACATAGTGAGGCTCTGTCTAAAAAAAAAAAAAAAAAAGCCAGATACATCGCCCCCTAATGCAGGGCTCTCTCTGTCCCCAGCAGGGTAGGCCATACCCTCAGGTCATCTGATTTGCCCCTCTCCCCTGTCCCTGCTGCTCACTTAGTCTTGCTCTAAGTTGGAGTTGGTGGAGAAGATTATCTTGCCAGACTGTCCCCAGACAAGCTGCGGAGAAGGACACCTCAACTTGCCCCCACCTCCAGAGTTGGTTGTGAGTTTGTCAGTCTACATTACAGAAAAGTATTTCAGGATGTGTCAGTGATGGGCGTAGGCAGATTTATTGCAGTTAGGGAGGTACATGCTCAGAGGAACAGAGCGCAGGTGCTCGAATGAGAGGCTCATTCTAGTTTGAGGTTATGGGGTTCGTGTGGTCTTGGCTGTATCTAAATGGGTGATCTAGGACAGTGGTGGCAAACCTGTGGCATGTGAGCTGAGGTGGGGTGTTTGCTAACACTGAAAGCTTTGAAAGTTTTGCTATCACTGTCCTAGGATCTGTTTTCCTAACATCTACAAGATGATCCACTGGTGGGCTAAATTAGAATGCATACATTTCCATGTGTTTGAAGTTTAGAAATATGGCACCTAATTAATAGTGCTGTTTTCTTGAGGGTGGAAGTCTATAGAGTGAATCTATATTATTAGCAGGAAAGGCAGACTCTATTTTCAGGTGAGTTTTCTGAAAGGTGAAGACAAGACCCTGTACCCTTGGGTAGCTGTGTCCTGAAGCTGTGATTTTCTTAAAAGCACAATTTTTAAATTCTACTTTTCTTGTCTCCTTTCTACCTTTTCCCCATCTTACCTGAAGACCACTGCCCTATTCCACTCTTCCCTCTCAGAGACTATGTTGGGTTGCCTGAAGAAGGCCATTTGCAAACAGTATCAATAGTTTTGGTTCTATTCTCATCCGTGACTGACCTGTTTGATTTGTGTGGCTTTACAAGTTGGCCTAGGATGACACAAATACTTGACCCAAAGTAGGTGCTCCACATCTGTCCACTGAATGAACAAGTGAAAATGGAATGATTTCCTTATCTGTGAGTTGTGGTCACTGGAGGCCAGAAAATGTAGTTTATCTTAGTGTAACCATCATCCCAACACATGCCCATGCAATAACGTCCTTCCATTCTACCTAATTCAAGGAATCAGTGAGTAAACTGAGTTGGACATGGTTAGCTCCTCAGCTTCCTTTTCCTGTTTACTCAGAAGACTGGATGGCACAGAGCCTGTGACCTTGCAAGTGACCCCGCTGCACCATGCCACATTCAGGCCGTACAGCCTGGCTTAAGTCTTCAGGACTTTGTTATTTTGTTGGTGAGGTGGGGGAACATACCCCTCAAGCCAGGCGCTCAAGGTTCACTCGCCCTTGCTGTCTCTCTCCATGCTAAGAAAATTTCCCTGAGCAATGGAATGTCCTACCCTTTGTGTTCTGGAGAAACTTTAGCTTCTCCTTCTAGAAGGGCTAATTCAGGTTCAGCTGCCATAGGATGAAAGGTAGGAGTACCTCTGATGGTCCCAGCAGGGCTCTAGTGTCCTGTGGATCCAGGACTTGAACCTGGAACATTGGGTGCTAGAAAATTAGCTCATCATCTGACCTCATAGAACTTGGACCCAAAATTCTGGCCAGTGGTGACACCTGCCCTGATGACCCCTAGATGTCTTTTTGGCCAACTCTCTATAAAACTTTCTTTTTTTACCACCCTCCAAATGAAAGGTCTTAGGCTATTGGTAGCATCAACTTCTTTATCAGCCTCAACTTTGACTAACTTTTCTTTTTTCCAAGACAACCAAGATATGTTCACTTCCTCCCATATTTGAGATTCTTCCTGTGAAGTCACTGAAGGCCAGGAACCAGACACTAGCCCCTCCCTTCCCGGAGCTGAGGTACCTTAGCCTGGCCTACAACAAGGTGACTCCCTGCTTCTTGACCTGTTTCCTTAGGGGCACAAATGGGAGGGTGGGGAATGAGCTGTTCTGGCCTAAAGGCCAGCCCTTTAATTCCCTGCATGACAGATATGTGGGCTCAGGAAAAAGGTATATGGTGTGCAGGCCAAGGTAGGAGTGTGTCCATGGAGTCTCAGATATTTATTGAGTGTTTTTCATGTGCCAAGCTCCATGCTAGGCATTCAGTATATAGATGTGAACTGAAAGCCTCGTGGAACTGTTCAGATGTAGGGAAGATGTCCTGGACGCACGCTCACAGTGTCAGCATGCTTAGCATTAGGAAGAAACGCACAGTGCTGTGAAGTAAGTGTATGGGGGTGGGTATCTAATCTAATATTTAGAATCAGGGAAAATTCTTTTTAAAAAAGGGATGTTTAAGATAACATTTGAATAATCCATTGAGCAAGGGAAGAGGGAGAGAGCTGCAGAAATAAAACCAGTAGGACAGATTTTGTTTGTTTTTTCTGTATTTTTCCAATGCTCATGTCCTGCTCGATTTTCTGTAAATACTTATTCATTCATTCATTCATTCATTCACTAATTTGCTTACTTATTTATTACTGGGTACCAGGAATTGAACACAAGGCCTGATGCATACTGAGAATATGCTCTACCACTGAGCTGCCCAACTCCTTATTTTTATTTTCACTCAGTTAAAATATGTTTAATTTTTCTTGAGGTTTTTGTTGTTCAGCCCATGGTTATTGAGAAATCAGTTATTTAATTTCCAAATGTAGGGGCCCTTCTCAGCATCTTGGATTTATTCATTTAGAGTATAATTTAGTTCTCAGGCTGGGAGGCATAGCTCCATGGTAGAATGCTTGCCTTGCATGCACAGCCCATTGGGTGTAATCCCCAGGACTATAAAACAAAACAAAACAGGCTGGGGAGATAGCTCAGCCCCCTAAGTGCCTGCCTGGCAAGTGCAAGGACCTGAGTTCAATTCCAGGTACTGCATGCTATGCTGGCCAGGGAAGCCCCTGCGCACCAAAACCATGCATGGTGGCGCGCACACATAATTCCAGCGCTGGGGAGGCTGAGACAGGAGGATCACTACAAAGTGGGAGCCTCATAGCCAGGCCCTGTACCAAATACGTAAATAAATAAATAAACTAATATAATGTTCTTGTGGTCAGATAACATAGTCTATAAAATTTATTTCTTCGGTTATCCCCTTCAACTTGCTTCATGGTCCAATCTATGTTTGATCGTGGTGAACGCTCGTATGTGCTTAGAAAAAATGTAGCCCACAGTTTGGGTGGGGCGGCACCGATAAGTGTCAGTTACAGAGGTGCGCGTGCCACCTGGATGGTCTCTGTGCTCTTGTTTTATCTGTTTGTTTCTCAGGTACTGAGAACAGAGTGATAAAATCTCCAGTCATGGTTGTGGATTTTTTTTGTTTCTTTAGTCTTGTTAGTACAATATTCCAGGTATTTGTTTTGTTTTGAGACAGGATCTCACTGTGTTGTTCAGGCTGGCCTTGAATTTCACTGTGTGGTCCAAGCTGGCCTTGAACTCACGGCAGTCCTCCTGCCTTAGCCCGTCAAGTGCTGGAATTACAGGTGTGCACCCCCCTACACTGTGCCTAGCTGTCCAGGTATTTTTAAGTCTATTATCAGGTTATTGTTATATCTATTTATGGACCAATTTTAATTATAATTATCTCCCCTCTGTTTCTAATAGTACTCCCTCTCTTGGTGTCTACTTTGTCTGATTTTAATATAATTAATTGCACAGTTTTCCATGCTTGTGGTTTGCATGGTGTCTGGCTGCCCTTGTTCTTTTTTTTTTTTTTTTTAAATTTATTTATTTATTAACATTTATTTTGGGGTGTGTGTGTGTGTGTGTGTGAGTGTGTGAGTGTGGCCAGCTCAGCCCACCAGGGGGCGCAGCTGGCTGGCATGTGGTGCTGGGGGAATCGAACCGTGGTCCCTGTGCTTTATCAAGCTTGTTCCAAGTAGGTGCCTTAGACCACTGAGCCATCTCTCCAGCCCTGCCCTTGTTCTTGCAGTCTGTTTAGCTCTTCCAGGGAGCGCATTCATTTACACAGCAGAGAGTTATCTGGTCCTTGCCTGGCTGCCAGGCTGTCTTCCTAGTGCCCGTGCTTTGTCTCTCTCTCTTGCGTGCCTGGACGGTGGGGCAGTTTACGCACTCGTGCCCTTCCCGCCCCTGCGCCCCGCAGCACACAGCTGTTGCATGTTACTTAGGGCTTGCCAGCCCCACAGGCTGAAGCCCCAGTCTTGGGCAGCCTTGGCGTCCTGTGTCTCCAGTACAGGCCCTTCCCAGGGGTCTGCTCCTCCTGGCAGAAGGAGACCGCTGCTGGTCAGGACCGGGGTTGTTTTGCTGCCCCGCCTCAGGAGTGGGGTTTTACCTTTCTCCAGCCACATGCCACGCCTTAGCTCGGCAGGGTTTGCTGTGCTTCAGCAACTCAAGACTTTTGCTCCCTAGGTAGAAGGGCGGAGAAGGTACTGAGAGGGTACCACCTGCATTGGTCACCTTTGCCACTGGTGAACAAAATAGCTGACACCAGTGACTTGAAGGAGAAGAGGTTCATGTGGCTCACGGTCCCAGAAGTTTCAGCCATGGGTGGCTGGCTCCAAGCCACAAGTATCGCATGGAAGGGCCTGGCAGTGCAGGCGGGGGCGAAGCCGAGGCCTCTCCTACCATGGCAGCTGCTCTCCTCCAGGCTCAGATCATGCCATGTGGAAGAGTTTTGCAGTTAGCTTTTTCACATTAGAATGTGTGAAACCCCCTGTTCCCCGTAGCTCTCAGGGGTTCCACTTTCTTACTCTTGGCCAGACTTGATCTTTTGATCTTTCATAATTATTACAAATTTTAACTGGGGGCCGGGGAGATGGTTCAGTGGAATAAGCGCTTCCCTGGCAAGCGCAAGGGCCTGAGTTCAATCCCAGGTTCCGCAAAAAAAAAAAAAAAAAAGGGTGAGGGTGAAGCCAAGCATGAAAGGAGAGGAAAGAACCAGGGATTAGACAGAATACTCAAGGTCATGCCTCCCTGGCCCCCCCGTGCCCATTCGGGTGCACTAGAACTTGCCAGTCCTCTCTCATTATGGCCCCAAAATCTCGTATCAGTCTGGCTCCTCCAGCCTGACTTCACACTTCTCTGCTTTCTCCACCCTGGCCATCTTTAAATTCCTCTAAAAGCCCTGAGTCCTTTTATACCCTGTTCTCTGCATGGAGCCAACCCTCCCCGTCCACGCTGGAGTAATAACTCGCCACTGCAACACCCTAGCACATCGCAGTCGCCTCACACAGCAGCCGTTTATTTCTCGCTTCTGCAAAGTCCACTGTAGGTATCCTGTTTGGCAGGCAGCCTTTCACACAGTCACTCAGAGGCCAAGCTGCTGCGTGCCCTTTCACCTGAAGGGCACCTGTGAGATCCTGTGTCTCTGGGGGCCCATGGCTGAGTGGTGGGGACGAAAGGAGAGGAGGGGAAGGTGTGTGAGAGGCTCTGTGGAGGCTGTGAGGACAAAAGCAGTTACCATTTGTGCCCACGAGAATTGGCTACAAGCATGTCACGTGATCACACCTCCATGCCTAGGCCATAGTCTAGCTGTGGGCTAGAGGTCGGGAAAATGGTTTTGGTTAATTCAGAAGTTTCTCTGTCATGACCTCCATCCGGCACTGCATTCACCACTCTCCTCCCCCGACCCTGGCTCAGGAACACCTTATAGCTCCTCTCACGCTTGGTCACGTGACCCTTGTGCCTCCTGTACCTCCTCTTCTGTGGCACTTGGCACAGTTGTGAATCTACTCCCCTTTAGGTTACTGTTCCTGTAGGGCTTTCTTCTCACGAGCCAGAGTCCTTGAGGGCAGGCGTCATAGCTGTTTTTCTCATTCCCAACACAGTGCTTGGCACATGACAAAGTATTCATGAAATATATTTATTGGTTGAATAACGTGACTAAGAATGATCTTATTCACCAGTGGAGATCTGGTGCTACCCAGTCAGGCTCCAGAAGAAGCCAAGCTGAAGTGCCCTTCCCCTTCCTGCCAGCCTGGATCTTGGCACATTCGGTGGGCCCTGCATCCAACCTGCACCTCCCAAGTGTCCAGGGGTTTGAGAGCCACTGCTCCATTCCTGGCCCCTCTGCTCTGACGGCCCTGATGCTGTTCTAACAGATGCCCTCCCCAAGATAACTTCCGTGAGTTCCAGTCACTCTGCTTTGCAAGGACAGTGTAGTTTTTGCCCTTCAAAGGCTGGCATGGCCAACAGGTCACTTACAGGCCAAGTTTGCAGCCCCAGATAACCTGCAGGTATCACTTCCTTCCCTTGGTTTTGCTTGTCCCTTGGGTGCGTGGCTGGCCTGCCCTCCTGCCTTCTCCCCTCCCCAGCTCAGTGCCCAGAACTGGTACCAGGAAAGCAGCGCCCAGGAGCGCTGCTGGATGACCGGGGTGTGTGCAGGTTCCTGCTGAGGAAAGTGAGACGTGAGACACAGTCACCCTTAGTCACCCTTTCAGACTCTGCAAGACAAGGGTGGTTTGTGTTTCTTATTGAGCCAAAAATACACCTAATACTTGATACAAGCTACACATCTGGAGTAGGGAAGGGAGGAAGGTTAGAGAGGTGGTGGAATGCCAAGACAGAAGGGCAAGGCGTCCTGGGCATGAGCAGGAGACGCCATAGGGGGTGGCACTGCTGGCCCACAGCACTGCCCTTCCCTCCCCTCCCCTTCAGTCCCCTTCCAGTTCCTTTCCTCACATGCATCCTGCTGCACAGTGCAGGTCTGTGCCACCTGAGGGGAGCTGAGGGCTGCTGGGGACCTGATGGCTCCCTGCATTTGTTCCAGATTGCGAAGGAGGATGCTCTCCTGCCAGTCGCTCTCTTTCCATCCCTTTCTGAGCTGGTCTTTCATAACAACCCTCTGGTGGCCCATACACGAGGTAAGGACCCTAAACCCTCCTCTACCCAGTACCCACAAAGCAGTGCTGGCACCGTTTTCCACAACTCATGGATGTCAGGCCTGGGCTCTGCTCTGCTGGGGTGGATGAGGTCCATAGAACTCTGGAAAAGGAGAACATGGTGGCTCTTCCTGACAGCACTGTGGGAGGTGGGCATTATTGTCCCCAGATTTGGGGGAAAACTGGAGTTCAAGGAAGTTCATGATCTGCCCAGGATCGCATAGAGCTCTTTTGGGGATGGGAAGCAGGTCTGTCTTGGTCTCCTTTCTAGCCTCCTGAGTCAGCCGGGGTCGAGGCCCCACTGCAGCGCCCCCTTCTCCAAGCACATGGCTGCCTTGGTGCAGCATCTGCAGTGGCACTGCTGACAGCCACGCAGCAGCTGGAGGGATTTGGGAGTCCAGGGTGTGCAGTGAGGGCAGAGCTAATCCCTGCTCCACACTCTTCGGACACATTCCTTAACCTCTCTGTCTTGGTTTCCTTGCCTGTTGAGTGGGAGTAACATGGTGCCTACTTCCTAGGTCCTGTTAATAATAATAAATTACACTGATTTGTGTAAAGCAATTTGAAGAGTACTCGGCACATATTTCAAAAGCACGTGGTAGCTAATAATCATCTTATTTTCCCTCCATCATACCAGGGGTTCCTCCACTGCTGAAGAGCTTCCTCCAGGAGCGGCTGGGGATCCACTTAATTCGAAGGAAAGCAGTCAAGGCTAAACATCGTATTTTGATACCTCAGAAAGAATCACGGAAGGTAAGTTTTCCAAGGCAAGAGACCAGGCCCTGAAGGAACTGGAGCCCGACTAACCTGCCATCCAGCTGCTCTCCCCAAAAGACCCGGGGCCTCTTGATTACACCCAGCATTGCCTTGTCCTTTGCTTGCTTTATAGAATGCGCATAAAGCAGGAGGGTCAAGCTAGTCAGAGAGACCCAGAAATGTAGGGAGGAGCCTTGCAGGTCCCTGGATCAGTGACTGTAATTCTAGAGAATTACAAAGCCTAGAAAAGAAGTGGGGAGAAACCATGCTTGAAGCTGGAAGAGCCAGGCACAGCCTCTCAGAGCTGCAAGAGGGCTGGGGGAAAGAGCAGATGTACAAATGCATTATAAATGAGCTCCCTAACCCTACACTGATGCCAGGCCCGAACACATTTCCTGGTTGTAGCTTAAGCGAGTGAATCCTGCTGTTGGAGCAGGCTGCCTCCTCTGTGACTCCACCCAGTCCTCCTAAGATTTACTTTTCAGGGTGCTATGAAACAAGCCACATCCCTTTTTCATTTGAAGAATTTCAAAATTTTTCACAAAATGCTCGTTCCTCCTGAAATTTTGGTCTTTTGGCAGCCACAGTTTGGACCTGACATTGTTGATTTGCTAGCTAGTTACCCTTGTTAGATATAGTTGTATGCTAATTAATTACAACTAAATACAGTTAGCACTGTACAGCCTGTCGCTGTCCAACCCAGTGCTTGTTTGTAGTCCTCAAAGGATAAGAACAGCGTGCAAGTGAAATTCCAAGGGTTTGCATCAGCTTCCCTCTGTTGCCTTCTCTAAGGATCAACAACTTCCCTGCCCATCTCCTAGCCGGATGTTGAGTACAGAATCCCCGTGCCCTTTACAGAGTGGCCAGGACAGAGCAGAGAACACTGAGGCTTAAAGCCAGCGTGCGTGTGCCTGTCTGTCCCCCGTGTGTTCACAGATGCAGAGCGGAGCATGGCCGTGGAGGCAGGCCCTGCCCTTGTGCCCAGACACAGGTGGGCCCAGGACTGTCAGTCCCGATCTGTTCTTCCCCAAAGAAGGTGCTAGGCAGGCAAGGGTGGGAGAGAGAAAGAGCACCCCCTCCTAAGACTAGAGATTTGTCTTTTAAATCTTTATGTAAGGTATGCAGCCGAGCAGCCTGAAAGCTGCCATCTTCCAGAAAATGCAGAACCATCCCCAAATCCTCCTGTCTTGGGAGGTCCTGAGGAAAGTTGGGGCTGCTGTGATAAGCCTTGATCTGAAAAATGAGGCCACTAAGGACAGAGTTATAAGTCCTAGGGCCCAGGACTAAAGCCAGAGAACCTAAGCTTTGCCTCTGACTTTGGAGAAGTCATGTTACTTCTCTGAGCCCCAGTTCCTTCATCCACAGCAAGTGTGATTTCCCACCCTCCCTCTGAGGCCTTGTCCAGTGTTCTGCCCACTCTACACATGGTGGCCTGAGTTGGGTCAAGCCCAAGGAGAGAGGAGGCCTCTTGGCCAGGGAGCAAATTCAACCCAGCCTTTCTCGTTGATGACAGGTGAAAGCACAAGTCCCCAAGGTGCTAAAGCGGTCCCTGTTGCTTCATCACCCACCTGTGACCTCAGTGCGGTCTCCCTCCTGGGATCTGTTAGAAGAGGCAGAGCTGGCTGAAGAGCTGCCCCCTGCCAGAAGCACTTCTCTGGAGACGCACATCGAGGGCCCAGAGGGCCTTAACCTGTCCCAGAGGAGCTTTGTGCCGCTGCCTCCCATCAGCTCTGACTCCACTGTGCACAGTGAAGAGACTGCAACCCGCCCCGGCAACACAAGTGGCCACCTCAGCCCAGAGTGTCGCTCAGAGGAGGACACCAAGAGCACAGAGTCCATCTTCCTGACCCAGGTGCCTGCGCGTGAACAGCGGCCCTGCCCACTACTGCAGTGTCCACAGGTTCCTGCCAAGTCCTTAGCTAGGGGGACTGCTGTGGCAGGCAGGCCACACATGGAAGGCAGCAGCCTTGGCAAAGTTTGTGTGACCCTCTAGGACTGTTACGGATCTGAGGCTATTGTGGGGACTCATGGGGATGTCATGGTCCTGAGGCATAGACAATGTCATTGGTGTGTGATGTTGATCTGTCTCTCAGAGGGTTTTGTTGCTGCCTGTGGATCCTGAATTCAGGTGACCCAGGTGCAGACCCTCCCCTGAGGTGCTCAGAGTCCTGTGGGAAAGATGGAGGAGCATGTGGTCAGGGGCTAGGCCCTGGAGGAAGAAGGGACGCCTCTGCCCAGCCCCAGGGAGCTTTGGAAGTCCCATGAGGCTGAAAAGAAGAAGTTAGCAAGGGGCAGTTACAGGCAGAAGGGACAGCATGAAGGAGGGTATAGAGGAAGGCAATTAAAACGGAAGGTGCAGCCATGGGAATGTCAAGTGTCACTGTGAAGGAAGGGTGGTGTGCGGGGAGGGGAAATGCAAGTCAGGCATTCCTAATGTGAACACGTGGAATCCCAAATCCAAAACCTCTGGGGCGCCAGCCTGGCCACAGGTGGGAAATTCCACACCACGAAACCTGTTTCTTGTATAAAATATTGGATAAAATTACCTGAAGCATATGTGCACAATGTATATATAAACTATAAATGAATTTTGTGTTTAGACACAGATTTTGTGTTTTGGGTCTCATCTTCAACACACCTCATTAAGTATATAGAAACATTCCAAAATCTGAAACACTTCTGGCTACAGGCATTTCAGATAAGAGGTCCTCACCCTGTAGACTGCTGGAAGAGCTGGAAGGGTCCCCTTTAACTTTATTGTTGTAAATCATCTATTCCCTATCTTGCCTCTTCAATCTTGGCCATAGCCTGATCTTAATATGTGTATGCATCTGCTTATTTGTATCTGATTCTCGGTCCATCTCTTTCTTTAATCCACATAGGACATACAAATTCATACACTATAAAATCAGGCTTGGCCCAAACTAGTGATGCTCCTGCTTCAGCCTCCCACAGACTACTGGGATTATAGTCCTTCACCACAATGGCTGGGCTTTCATGTTTCTTGTAAAACCATTTGGGTAGGCTAAAATCCTCCAGTTTGCCATCAGAACAGGATAAATACAAAGCAACACCCTCAGCTTGCTTTAAAGGTCCTTACAGATCCATTCCTTGCACACCATTCTTGTCTGTCCCTTCACATGGCTGTCTGGCTGTCTCTGTTACTCTTTTGTCTTCTAAACACCTTGATGGCCCCGCTGTGCATGCTGTTTCTTGCCCACTGCAGCTACCCTTTCTCAGATTGTGTAATCTACCATTCTTTCTACCATTGCCTAGGGAAGTTCTTGTGGCTCTCCAAAACTGAGCTCTGGCTAATGAGTCACTCCTTTTGGGAGCTTGCTAGCTGAATTGGGCTTCCTCTGGAATCTTCTGGAACCACATTGCTTCCTTTGGTTAATAGCGTTTGCCCAACTTGTCTTTCTCTCTGCCTTCTCAGTCCCCTGTCTTAGTCTTGTCCTAAATAGATGTCCCAGGATGGAGACTAGCACAGACCAAGTGGTCAGAGGGATGCAGGAGTGAGTGGATGTGTTTCCTTCCTGGTGTAGGTGAACGAGCTTCCTTCCACTGTCACTCGTGTGGGTGACTTAGAGGTGAAGGAAGAAAGCCAAAGAAGATCGGTGATGGCACCTTCCAAGGTAAAGAAGACCCAGAAGTTCCCATCTACCTCTGTCCTCAGCAAGTACCATGGATATGAGGAGCTGCTGACAACCAAGTCTGATCCAACCTTCATTGAGCCTAAAGGTATATGAGGACCAGGGGCTATCTCTACAGCCCCAGGCAGGTTACAGCCAAGCCTGCTGTAGCTCGGCCTGCTTTTTCCAGCTAGTGTCCAAATGTCAGAGGGCCTTGTAGGGTGTCCTGTTTGAATTCATCTGTTCTGAGCTAGTCTGTCCCAGCTACTGTGGTTGAGACAGGCTTTCTTCAGGAAAAGTTTGATGAGCAAACCTCAGACTGGACAGATTCTAGAGTTCCTCCCAGCCCTGTTAAATACCAAACTGAACATCATATCTCCTGTTTGGGTTGAGGCAAGAGAGGTCACTTCTTCTCTGAGCCCCTCCTGTCAATTTAATGTGCTAAGAGCATCTGTACTCACAAAGGAACTGGCCAGCAGCTAGTACCCCCTGGCATCAACCCCTGCAGTTAGTGGGGTCACTGTACTATAGCTGCTGGATCTGTGCTCTTAGGGGATGCATTCACATGGTGAATGATAGAACTTGGGGCACTGGAACAAGATCAAGGGGATCTGGGAGCCATAGGTTCTTCTTAAAGACTCTCAAATCCTTTACCCAAGGCTGCTGGTGAGACTGCAGACATTAGGGGAGGGGTTTCACCTTACCTCAAATTCCTGCCCCAGGCATCCAGAAAAACGCCCAAGCTCTGCACCGCATGCTCAAGCACCCGCTCATCTACCGCTCCTCCAAGCCCAGGCTGGACTCTATTCAGAAACACTATGTCCCCAAGGAGAAGCAGGTGAGTGTCTGGTCTGCTGACTGAGAATGATCCCTGAGGACCCCCACAGGCAGAGATGTGGCTGTCACCTTAGGACCTTCTGAAGACCACATTTCTCAGTGCTTCCAAGTGCCCCTTGCCTGTTGCCCTGAGGTGGGCAGGAAAGGCCTCCACATGGAATGTCACCCTTCTTTTGACCTCCTGCCAGGCTCCAAGGATCCCTGTTCCACCCCCACGGAAAACTCGAGCCCAGCTGCTGGATGATATCCTCATTCGCGTGCGGGAACCCCGGAACATCACAGAGGCTCCGCTAGGTATGGCTCCACCTCCGGCCAGAGGCTGGATTGAACAAGTTCACCCATCTCCTGGTGTGAGGGAGAGAAAGGGTACCCAGTACAAAGGGCTCTGAGGACGTCTGCCTCTCCAGCATGGGTACAGGAGAAACAGATGCTTGAGAGAGGGAGCTACCATGTCACACAGCTTATAGCTTGTTATGACTTCCACTGCCCCAAGACAATGCCTTACACACACACACACACACACACACACACACACACACACACACTCCACTTTCCACCTCTTCAACCTCGGCTTGTCTCCCTGCAGGATCGGTGCTGCGCAGACAAGCGGAGCCCAGGCTCGTGAACCATAAGCAGTACCTGGAAGCCAAGCGGCTGCTCAAGGAGTTCCAGGCGCGCTACCGACGGCTGGTGCGCAGCTCTCTGCGGACTGTATGCGGGGCCACTCCAGCGCCCCCAGCCCTGCCGGCGCCCAGCGAGGACCAACCCAAGTTTGGCCGCTTCCTCGAGTTCATGGATGAGTTCTGCCAGGAGCCCACGTCCAGTGACTCAAAAACCTAGGGCTACATGTGGGTAGTGTGTGCTGCCTGGCCAGCGTCCTGTCCTCCTCGAGGCCACTGCACCCCTGAACTTGCCTCTGGCTGGGTGGGGCCTGGTACGGGCCTCTGAGCTTGCTGTGACTTTGCTCGCTGGTCACGGAGTGGGAAGCTTGACAGGACCTCACCACTGGCCCAGCAGCAATAAACAGCAGGTGCGTAGAGCCGCTGAGCGGGCGCCAGGCACTCTTCCTTGAAAGCCGGGCCAGGAACACAGCGACTGTCCCTGGGGAGAAGTCCTTGCTGGTGCATTCACTCTGAGCCTGAGGGAAACTGACTTAAGTCCTGCATGCGACAGCTGTTAGGTCAGAAAATGGGAGTGCTGGGAACAGCACAGCAGTCCAGAAGCTCAGGATTTTGCTAATGGGCCGTATAATGGAGGGAGGCAAAACCAAGGCCCCTGAAACGGGCTTTTTCTGTTGGGCAGTTTTTTCCCTGGTAATGAGGAAGATTGTTTCTTTATCGGACAGCTATGGTCACAAAGGTGAAACAAGCAGGGAGGGTTTCTATGGAGTTTTGCAGAGTCCTGTAATTCAAGACACAAGCTGAAGGTACGGAAGCAAAGACTGGGCTGTGGCTCCAAAACACACCTCGGGGCTAGCCAAGTCACGGGGCTTCCAGTAAATGTGCGGTTCTGCCAAAGTAGGCTGTGGGATCGCCCTGTGCCTGATGGGGCTTAGGCATGCACCTATCTAGAGAAGGCCTGAGGGTATAGATTCCAGGTGCTGGATTCCAGGGATGGTACTGGGAATGACCTAGTCATGTGGTCAGCCCCACTCCTCTCCTGAGGATACCCACAATTCACATCTTGGTAGTAGGCTTGCAGTTCCCAAGATCTAGGAAGCAGTGGCACAAGAATTGAGGGTCCTCAGCAAGGCAGATTTTCACAACCTAACCTACAACTAAATATTCACATGCTGCTGTTCTCAGTTGCAGTCTCACAAGTGACCAATTCAATGTTTATACTTAGTGGTGGTCACCCACCTGCATAAACACACAGACATCACAACAGTGAGCCATACAGGTCACACCACATGACAAAAGGTATGTCTTATTCATTGACACAGGCACCTGAACAGATGCAGGTAATATATAGTAACTCACAACAGCAGCCATATGCCTGGGAATGTTGCTGAAAAGCTTGAATTTCCTGGGGCCCTAAATCACCCTCCACACAATCACACTCACCAGGTTTGTTCTGAGAGCTACCTGTACTATGCTTTCAACCATAAATTCTATCAAACCATAGCCTCTCAGCCTCCAGGGCTCCCGGGCATGTCCATCCCAATCTCAAGAAAGGCAGCTTCCTGCAATCTCCCCAGCAGTTGAGGTACGGTATGCACACATCTAGGGACTGGGGGCTTGTTCCCTCCAAAGTGCGCCCTTTCCTTTGTTGGGAAAGCTGTTGGGCAGTTCAAGCCATTGCGCTGTACTGCCTGTGTGCCTCACTAGTCCCAGTTCTGCTTTTTCATCCGAAAGTTTATCTGCTCTCTACCCACCTAAGCCAACCCTTCATCACCATGAGAGCATCCTAGGGGTGGGGGTGGGGGACACTTGGGCCAAACTGCTTTCTCAGTTAAGGATAAATAAATTGGTTGTTTCTCCTAGACTTTCTGAGGTTCTGCTACTCATTCTTTCTGACCCGATTAGCTTTCTTACCCTGGAGGCTGTAGAGTGGTAGATTTTTGGCTCCTTTTCCTTCACACATAACCATATGTTAACAATAAAGAACTCCCAGGAAGAAAGCCAGCACTCGGGCTGCTCCTTCTCTAGGAAAACTGACAACACAGCAGCTGTTTCTTACTCATCTTTTGAGTTGCAGCTCAGGTGTCCTTGACTCCAAACTGAACTGTTTTTCTAGTCATGTATCCAAGATGCCAGTGAGCGCTCCAGGAGCCACCCATGGTGTCGATGCAGTCCTGCCTCACATCCCTGCTGCCTTAGGATGCCTTCTGCCCCTACACGTGGGTACAGAGGAAGGACAGTGTGCTCTCTGTCCCTACCAGTCCCAGTCCAGGCAGCACAGTGTGGTGTCGGGGTGTCTATCCCAGAAAGCAACTGGAACACTGTCAACCAAAGCTATTTATAGAGGGTGTCATCACCCTAAGGTTGGTGCAAGCCAAGATAGCAGAAAAAGCAATTAAATTTCCCAAGTTTAAATGGAAAAGGTACATGAATTTCTATTGGATAAGAAACTGTGAATTCCTAAATGATGCCTCCAGAAGAGGATATGTTAAAAAAAAATCAGCTTTCTAAGTACAGCCTTAATGTGCAGGACAGTGTCATCTTATACATTCATTATTTGCGCACTCTTCCTTGGTGTCTGTGTTAGGACTATGAATGGCTGAATGGGAGAATGGCAGTAAACTGGAGCTAACTTGGATGAAGCGTTATGGTTGTGCAGTGTACACTTTCAGTCCCATCCCACTTCCTAATCTCTACAATTCTCCATGCCAGAGCAGGGTATTCCAGAGTATTACCCAGCGCAAAAGTCAGCACAGTCTAAGCGTACCCCAAGTTTGTCTGAGATTACTCTCCAGAGACAAGAATTTGATTAGAAACAACATATACTTTCATGAATTTGCTTTACTGTATTCTCAACTTGGGCCTTGCCTCAAGCAGGCAAATACACATTGAAGAATGCACTTTGGTACTGTAAATAAACAACACATTGTCCCACTTGATTCTACACCATTTCATTGTGGTAGAACATCCCTGATAGGGCATGGCCTTTTCCAAGTCTTTGTCAAAACGATCTTTATGGTGAGTTGGAGAGGTGGCAGCCTGGAGTGGCAGTCCTCAGGGATCCAGGCGCTTCTCCCACTTATGTAGACAGTAGGTTGTGTAAGTTGTAACCACTAGACCACCAGGGAGCTGAGCTGCAGCAGATAAAATAAAACCAAAAGACAACTTATTTTCTATTTCTAGGCAGAAGGGAGAAAGGCCTTTTGGACAACTTGTATTGTACAAAGAATTGAGTAAACACATAAAATCTATTAGTTGGCATTCAAAATAATCATTTTTCTCCTTGCATAGTACCTCTTCTGTTACTGGGACTTTAAGTGCTCTACTCGGAGGCTCAGGGTTAGTGACATCATGTCTGATATAAACTTGGCTGAGAGTGAGAAACCCTGCTCCCACTGGTGCAGGGGAGGCAGTGTTAACCAGGGAGAGGCTGACTGCTGCCACATTAATCTGCAGCCAGGGCCCACAGCTATCTTGAGCTCTTATGGGTGTTATAGTTTAAGAGTACATGGTCTGCACATCTTATTAAATGAAAGGAAGAGAACAAGACTTGCTTAGACTTGGCTGTGTCAATGTCTTTCTTAAAACAGAAAAAGGGAAGGAGTCTGCTCAGAGTTTGAGGTTGCCTCTCACATTATTGTAAGTCACCACCTTGTTGGCAAGACAGTAAGGAAACATACTCGTAAAGCAGCAAGTACTTTTCCTAGAAAAAATATTAATACATAGAACAACCTGCACATTCAGTTTTGGCACTTTTTCCTTCATCTAATTTGATTAATCTCTAAAGTAGTGAACTCTGCACATCTCTATCTACAGAACAAATCTTTGAAAGCTATAGTGGATGACAATCATATGTAAAGATGCATTTCTGGGCTACCTTAAATCTACTCAGCCTCATTCCCTAGAATCTGCTCCCTACCAGGCCTGCCTTCTCCTGAGTCCCAAAAATTCATAATCAGCATAATTCATAATTTGTGTTCAACCTAATGACCAAGCCAAAAGACCACTCTGTGAGTTGATGAGAAAAAGGCTAAGATTTAAGACCCAAAGAAATTTCTAATTTTGAAAAAAAAAATCAATATATAGCTAGCTTTTAACTACTGGTAATTAAAATGGCAATCATCACAACTAAAATATGTTGCTCTTCAAGATTATACATTTGTAGTACACCATGGGGCTTTTCCCTATCTGTGTACTGAGGGTATATGGGCACCTTTTAACTGAGAGCAGAAGAGTGAGCTATTTTTCAAAGTTCCTACATTTGGGCATCCCCTTCACTTGCAAGTCACACTGTGTAAATAACTTCAAGGATTATTTATTCAGGCCCTAAAACACTACATATAAAATAGTACACAGGGCACTGGGTCATTTGTTAAGGGGGGGTACAGGGTAGAGGACCTCTGATATTTCCCATGCCTATTCTAGCTAGAATATACTATGATTATAATATAGCACTTATTTTTTTCTTCATCCTGCCTCCACTTCAATGAAAAGCCAGCAGTATAAAAGGAAAGAAAGCTCAAGTTGCTGCCATCTCTAATGAGAGCTCAAGATGGGGAAGAGATTAAGTGGTTTCTAAAATGAGGGGTAGGCTACGTCTGACCATGTCAGCATTCTACCTGCCTCATTTCCTGGTGCTTAATCTATAAGCTACCCATGAACAAAGGTTATACTGTTCCATGATCACTACAGGAGAAGATTCATTCTCCCCTGGCAAAATTACTTAGGGAATGGAAAGCAATGTTATGACCAATTTCATAAATACTGATGGGTCTCTATAAAATGTTCAAGGCAGCGTGCTAGGTACAGAACATCCTAGACAGGACCATTGAAGAGCACTGTTATAAAAGAAATGGCCTTTCTTAAGACCATTAACATACTCTCCAGCTACACACACACTCAAATATATTCCATTAGACACTGTTCCTGAAGACCAGGGACCATCTTTCCATCTCTGTACCTCCACAGCCCAGTACAGGGCCGGCACAAGTTTAAGAGTATATGAAGGAATCTGTCAAAGGAAATGAAAGGATGAAAAGCACCACTTCTGGTCAACAACTGCACCAGATGACAGTGGCGGTCCTGTTTTAGTTGATTCACCAGCTGGTAATCGGGCAATTATTTAAGTGCTTTAATCTCTTAGGGGCATTTCTCTATGAAAAAAAATGAACAAAAACAAAACAAAGGCATGTTTTATGACCAGTACTTCTAGTGAATTTTTTTTAAAAAAATGAATCCACTTAGAGAAGATTTCCCTGGCCTGCCTTAGCCAAAAAACTTAATTTTTTTTTTTTTTGATGCCAACCTCACAGGGTGAGATTAACTTCTAACAGACAGAAACAAGGGGTCATGGAACATGCTCCCACAGTGTCATTCCTTCAGTGTGGAAAAGGGTTAAGAACCCCTTTCTGAGGTTGCTACATTTCTTGGACTTCCCACCAGAATGATCCCCATCATCCCATCTCTTTACTAAAATAAGAAAAAAGAGTGCATCTACACAAGAAGAGTTGATAGGGCACAGGAAGTTTGTATAACTTGAACTTGAATGATTTTTAAATGTTTGATACATGAAATGCTCTATCTTTTACTCTAGCCTTACTAGTGCTTCTCATCCATTGGTTTTCCTTCTTTTTCTCTCATCTGCCCCTTCCAAAGATCCATATCAATAATTCTTGTGACCATCCTGACAATAAAACAAGATGGAAATTTTTCAGAAAAAAAACATTGTTTTAGTTTATGTATGCAAAGGGTCTTAAAATTCAGACATTACCTTAGTGGGTTTTTTCCCCTCTTTCAAAGCTGAGCAGATATGAATTAAATCTCTTCCCTCCTTAACCTAAACAGTTCTGCCTATATTTGAAGGACCACTGCTCAGTAGGAAGCATGGAAAATAACTGTTTCTACCATCATCAGCATCGCAGTAGGTGTGTGGAGAATAGTCAGTAAACTGGACCTAGTGTTTAGAATATTTACTTAATAAGAAAAGATTTTTATTCTGCATATGAAGTCAAAGTTGCTACTACTATGCAGGTTCTTAAAATGAAAGTATTGGGGAAATATTTAAAATATATCTTTCATCTATTAAAATATCTATTTTTAACCAAAACAAAAAATCAGTTCTAACTGAAAATGTTTTTCAAATTATTGGAGCTACAGAAAAAAAGATGCCAAGAGGTAAAAATAAATGTTTTTCCTACTACCAATAAGACAAGCCTTCCAATAATATTTACTAAGATCAAAAAAGAAACACCTGAAATGGCAGTAATGGTTGCATTCTCTCTGGGTGCTTATTAAGGTCACCCTCCCTGCCCCTGTAGATCAGTGCCAACTCTTTCACTGTGGGCACTAACTGTCCCCTAGCAGCTCTTGGAGGCAGTAAGTTCTACAGGGCCTAGAGCTGAAATGGTGTGAATATAAAGTAATGAGACTAATGTATACTTTTATAGACAACCTGCACATGTGTTCACACTCACGCACACACACACAGAACACACACATTCAGGCGAGCACACTTCCCACCAGAACAGTCACTGGAGAGAACCACACGTCTCAGTGATGCACACAGTGCTTCTGACATCTCTGGAATTTCTCTTTGGGAGACGTTTGGGAACTAGGAGCTGCACAAGAAAATATCTCTGAGCACTTCACAGACCTCATTTATGACTCCAAACCCTCTTCATAAAACCCGCCTTCTTTCCCAGAGGCTTCAAATATCTTCTATTTACAAATTTAAACTTCTCTTTCTTACAACTCTAGAAGATTGAAGATGTGCTCTGAGAAGGTGCTATAGATACTCCCTTGATCTAAGAGTCTGCTCAGCCTTTGCCCTAGTGGGAGGAGGAGGTTGAAACACAGAACCTTTAAGGTCCCTTCCAGTTCAAGCACTTTGGAAGTGAGACTGTGTCATCAGATGTTTCTGTACTTTGAAGACAGTTTCAGAAATGTTTTCACCAAAGGCAGCATCACTGGAAAAACTGCAGTATCCTGCTGGGGCTACTCTAGGACAGCATACACTGGGATAGATAAATTCTATAAGGTTAAAATGCCACTCATATAAGTATAGTAACAGTTCATACATACACAGGGAATGCCAGCCCATCTGATATTCCCTAAAATCCTATCTTAATCCCTATTCTCAACAAGCCCAGAAGGGCAGAAGCACCAAGCACCACCAGGGATGCAAAAGACACATGGTGTCAGCTGCTAAGAAAAATAAACCCCAAAGGTCCATGGGACTGAATTTACCAGCTGCATCCAGCTAGATACCTTGTTTCCACAGTATGGAGTTCAGCATTGCTCTTTGCCTGACTTCAGGGCAATTTTTTAAGATTTTAGATCAACGTTGCAGATAATTATTACTCATGTGGAAAGTAACAATGAAGCCCCATTATGGTTTGTCTCATAGGCTGGAACCCCTAGGAAAACAGAAGCCTGTAAACTGGGGGAGAGGGCAGAACTGAACAGTATATGCTTATGTATCCATCAGTCTTAACTACTTTCAGGTAGGTTTTGCATTACTGGTGTTCAAGCCCGGCCAGCTCTCCCTCGGTACCCCTGTCATGCCCTTGGATTGCAGTCCATTTGGGTAACCCGTTAGTGTAGAAAATCCATGGGATTTGTTGTTAGGAGACCCAGCAGTCCATCTGGGGTATGTCACTTAGTAGAGAGAACCTGAACATCTGCACTGCAGTTTCATCATCTAAAAATGGGGCTAATACCACTTACAAGTTAGGTCTCTTAGGGAGACCAACTTAATGTCTGGGAATGTGCCCTGCCAGCCAACAGCATTAATCATATGTAATTTTTAAACAGAGAATGTAAATTAACTTTCAAAGAAGCATATGCTCAACCAATTTAAGTAGGTATTGTTATTTGTGGTAAGGGAAAGGAAAAGAAGAACATAAGCTATCATTTTGGGTCTTCCAAAGTACTACACTGCTCCACTTCTTTGAAAAAGATGGAATTAATTTTTATCTGCAAGGTTGATTTAAAACAACACCCTGTTGAAAGAAGTCAGGAGCTCATCAGTTTGAGAAGGCATCCCCTCTTTCCCTTATCACTGCTAACTCTGCTCATGACGCTTCTGAAGGAGGCCTTTCCAAATCTCACTCTAAGTGGGCACTGCCAGATGTGGCTCAGAAGCACTCAGAGGGGGGCTACTTAGGGGGTGAAAAGTGCTTTTGGGTTGGGTCACAAAGAGCAGAGATGCAGCTGCCTTGGATTTTGACTAACAAGGCCCTGGAATCTCTCAAAACCATAGTAGACAGCACTTTGCATTAAAAGAAACCCAAATGAGAACACTCAACTCTTCAGATAAATGATCAAGACCAAAGACCTCTTAAAAAAATAGGTAACACTGTTCATGAAGTGCTACTTGGCCCCAGCCATGCTGCTGGACCGTAAGAGATACTGATCAACACTTCCTTTTCGGCGACTCACTGTCCGCCTCTCATTGTCAAACATGCGCTGCAACTGCAGAGCCAACTGTCGGTCTTCTTCCTCTTGCTGCAACTTCTGCTCCATCTCTCGAAGTACTGGGTCTGTGGGGGCCAGACCCACCTCACTGCTGGTTTGTCGCAGTTTCTTAAGAGAGCCGTTTTGCTCCAGGTGCTTGGTCTTACAACGTCTTTTCTGTCCCCGACGCAAAGGAGGAAGTGGTTCCTCACATAGGCTGTCTACCAGAACACCATTAGCCAGATCAAAATGATTTAATGTCTTCAGCTGTTTTTTTGTTTTGAGGATGCCACCAAAAACATTGCTTTTGGGTACCACAGAATTAACTGCTGATATTTTCATGGCTGTGCTTAGACAAGTTTTGTCTAATTTAGTATCTGGGGTTGACCCTGGCCCATCAAACTGCTCCCCCTCCAAAGAAGTCCCTCTGATTCCCTCTTTGAGTTCTGAGGAAGAGATTTCCAATGGGACCTCAGTGCTCTTTTTACTGTCCTTTCCCTGTTCTACTTGTGTTTGACTAACAGAGGGGAAATACTCAGGATCCGTGGGGGTGGGTCCAGTGTACTCAGAGAGCATCTGCCCACTAGAGAGTCTTGTATTTAAAGCCAGAAGTGGCTTCTCCTTGCTGGGATGGATAGCTTCAGAACTTAGTAAGTCTTCCCCTGCTTCAGGGGCCAGGGAGGTGAGAGTGGCTTTTGAAAGGGTCTTTTTGATCTGTCGCTCCTGAAAGATCTGCTCCCACTTTTTGAGGATCCGTGGACTGGCCTCATAAGAAGTCTGCTTCTGCAGGCTTCTGTTTAGGTTGCGAGGTGTTGACTTGATGATGAGGGGGCTTAGTACACGGCCATCAGGGAGTCTCTTGGGAGGAGTACACGGTGAGCAAACGATGGGCTTAAAATGGTTTAGTTCTTCAGAAATGCTGTCATTGCTCTCAGGGCTGATGGACCGCTCTGGCTTATGCAGCGAAGCCAAAGATGAAAAGGAACTGAAGGGCAGACGCTTCTCGATGGTCAGGTCAGGGGCTGAGAGACAGCGGTTGTTCTGAGTGGACAAAAGGACACCAATGATGGGGTTGGAGGCTGGAGTCATTGTTGTTACCTACAAGAGATTAAAAAGAGCATACGTACAGACATATTTTTTCTACATAATTCCTTTAGATGGTGGAGATATGAAGAAGGGAAGGACAAGAAAAAGAAAAAAGGATGACGCAAGCTTAAGAAATGGGGAAAACCCTTAAAGCACATCACTTAGCAAAAATTCCTACATGCTTGAAACAACATATTAAAAATATGACGGTAAAATAAACTCAGAGGTGTTAGCTTTTTCTTTTTATAGTACTAGGATTTGAACCCAGGGTCTCTGCAAAGAGCCACATCTTTAGCACCCACCTCTCTTTTCAGACAGGGTCTTCTTAAATTGCCCGGCCTGGGCTTCAACTTGCGATCCTCCTGCCTCAGCATCACAGGGGGCCTGGATTAAATGCATCTAGCACCACACCTGGATAGAGCTGTTAGAGGGCTTTCTCTAACGGCCCTCCTAGCACCCATTTCACTACCGACTGCACCCTTCCTTACATCTTGTGTAGAATCCGCTGACATAACTACCATGGTATGCCTGGGCCCATTCTACTTCATCATCTAGGGCAGTCTCTTCCATGGCCATGTGCAGAGGAAGCCATGAGGTAGCACCAGAGGGCCTGCCAGCCTGTGGCTGGGATGTACCTTGGCTTTTTTGGTTGGAACTGCTCTGAGTCTGCTCTTCACTCTGTCCTGAGCTGTGTCACTGCAGCTCTGACTCCTCTGTACCTTGGTGTTTAGCTTTCTAAAAAAGAATAGAAGAGAGTCAAAATTAGTCCATATATGAGTTTAGGAAAAAAGTGACAATCTCTTTTTCACATTCTAAGCCACTCACCAAGAAAGACAATTCCCTTGGGCAGCTACAATAGAAAGTGAGTTAATTTAGTAACAAAACACATTCTAACAACACACTCTACCTAAAACAAGAGGGGGGCATCTGGTTCAAGCATTTTTTAAAAATTATTTTATTTTATTTTATTTTATGTCTTTGGTACAGGTTCTGACTGTGCAGCTCAGACTTGTAGTGACCCTCCTGTTTTCAGCCTCCCCAGCGCTGGGATTAGAGGCGTGCGCCACTGCTCCTGGACTCAGTGGCCGGCTCAGCATGCCCCAAGGGAGGGACTGGCACAGCATCTGATGCTGGGGGCTGAGCCCTGGGTCCCTGTGCCTGCCTAAGCAGGTGCTTAGTCCACTGAGCTATCTTGCTGTCCCTAAGACCTGTATAATTTTCCAAGGTCAGAGCAGTTCCATGATAGCTGCCCTGGCAGATAGGTTCCAACAGTCCATAAACAATTATTTTATATGTACTTATGCTGGGCATGGTGGTGCACACCTGTAATCCCAGCACTCAGGAGGCTGAGCCAGGATGACTACTGCAAGTTCAAGGCCAACTTGGGCGGCTACGTAGCATGTTCAAGGACAAGCCTGAACTTGCAGCCTGAACTACATAGTGAGACCCTATCTCAAAAACAAAAACAAAACCCTGAAACAAAAATGTACTTATGTGATATAGACTTTTTATTACAAGTGTTTTGAGCTCCATTAAAATTGCTTTTGACTATTTTTGCCAAAAAAGATGGGCTTCTTCAGTTTCCTATTCTGCCAGTTTGCTAATCAGGCAAAGCATCTTTAAGATACAAACAAGATATATTTGATACAAATAAGATGTAGGGCAAAAAGGGGATTTTTATTACGATGGTCTGCTCAGAAGCCCCAGCAGTATTTTTAGGGATATGGAGCATGAATTCAAACCTAAGTGTCACTAAAATCATAAATGTAAAAATATATAAATAAAACTTATTATACAAATAATACCGAATCTATTACTATAGCATTTGGTTAGGTGAAAAATATTCAAAATACCAAACCTGATAAATATTCTTACAGTAAAAAAAAAAACCTCAGACAATACTGTCATCTGAAAAATTGGGTTAACTTCTTTTTCATTTATGCACATCCATTTAGACAATCTGAAACAATACATTTTTTCCAAACAATACATTTAGCACATACATTCAATAAATTTACTAGATATAGTCAATAAATTTACTAGAATAAAAACACAGTATTCAGAATGCAGAAATGTCTCTCTCCTTTAAGGAAAGGGAAAAAACTACATTTTTTGGACCCTATTATCTGTTAGGCACTGTGCTAAGCAGCTGTTTTTCATTTAATCTACACATATGCTCTGAGATGAGTACCAGCATCCCCAGTTTGTAGATGGAGAAATGAGGGATATGATGATCATCCCTTTCCTACATAGCTGAAGCAAATATACTAACCCACAGTATCTCTCTGATTCCAGTCCATGTTCTTACTATTACAGCATACTGATCTCATCTCCTTTACAGCATACTGATCTAATGTCCTCCTGTACTCTTTCATATACTTGAGATACCTATAAAAACTCTATAAGAACACATAATGAACTCCTAAGCAAGAGAAAGCAGAACTGTCTGAAAGTCAATTGGCTTAAAATTTCCACTACCAAGAGACCAAATATTTTTCATCTTTTTTTGTACCAGTGATTGAACTCAGGACTTTGTTCTTGCCTGGCAGGTGTTTATGAGGCTGAGCTATCTCCCTAGCCAATTTTCTGATATATGTAATTGGGCTAAAGAACAGGGAGTCATACTGCATGCCTGTAATCCCAGCATTTCAGAGGCTGAAGCAGGAGGATCGTTGCAAGTTTGAGACCTGTCTGGGCCACAAAGTGAGCTCAAAGCCAGCCTGAACTGTACAGCAAGACCCTGTACCAAAAAGAGGATGATGACGACTACTACTACTACTACTAATAATAATAATAGTAATAATAATTGGGCTACAGATACCAACAACTACAGTTGGTCTGACTTACAAAGAGAAGCTGTCAGGATAAACATCTGGAAAGCCAGCAGACTTAATATTTACAAAGCACTGTTTAGGAGATGACCCGGGGCCGCAGGATCCTGAATAGACCCAGAGCGCAGGCCAGGCGTGTGAGTGAGACCACCCAGGCCCTGTGGATCTTCATTCAACCCAGAGTGCAGGTCCAGTGAGGAACCCTTCAGCAGAACTCCCTGCAAAGAGGCTAGAGGCAAGACCCACCCAGCTGATTCAGGAGCAGAACATGTTCCCAGAGAGACACAAAGGGTTCAACTCTAATGGCTGCAGCAGAAAGAAGGGGAGCACAGCAGCCAGATCCAAACAACACCCACCTAGAGGAATCTGAACTTCATAGATCAGGACATGGTGCTAAGGTAATAACTCGATCTAAGCTCTACACCAAAGGTCAGAAGACAGTGGTATACAAAATGACAAAGAGAAGGATCAA